GGTTTTTTTTTGTTGTGGGGGGGGGGGGGCGCGTTTCCGTGGGAGGGTAAAAAAAAAAAAAAAAAAAAAAGAACTTACACGTCATAAATCTTGATGTAGCCATCGTCTGATGCCGTGACAAGCAGCTGGGAGTCAGGAGAGAAGGTGAGGGAGCGAATTGGCATAGCGTGCCCTAGTGGAGGAGTAAGGAACAGCATTTTGGCAGTTTACAAATCCAGTTCGGTCAATTTAAGTTCATATGTTTGCACATAATCTTTCAGGAGCATTCACTTTCTGATTTACATTTTTTAAACACTTTTTTTTAATGTTGATCAAGGTGATTAGACTTTAGACGAACAATTTAAGAACCTCCAAACAGGCCCCAAATTATGGTAACACATCACAAGCCTCACTGCACTGCAAAAATATGTTTTCATTATCGTCGCCGCCTTTCTTCGGTGGCTGCTTGGGAGAATGAACGTGCGAGTTAATGTTTTTATAAATATTTGCCCGAAGTACGTTGGCCAATTGGATTCGGCGCATTGCGAATGAGCACGCGCGGAGGTAATTCAACCTTGAGCCGAACTGAACCCACCTTCCAGCGTGTGGAGGAGCTTTCCCGTGGCAATGTCAAAGATGTTGATGATGCCGTCAATCGCCCCGCTAGCCAAATATTTACCATCGGGACTCTGAGCAGTCACAACATAAATATAAAATAAAACACTGAATATAAAATAAAACACTTTGAATTAAAAATGCAACGTGTTTGCATTCCTTACATAAGCGATGCTCAGGATGAATTTCCCGCGGGTGTCCAGAGAATATTCCTTCTTGCCGCTTTCCACACCGAAGATGTTGACCTTGCCGAGGTGGCTTCCTGTGGCAATGTGTTTGGAGTCAGGCGAGAAGGCCACCGTCCAAGCGTCCACTAGAGCAGAGGATATCACAATAGAATGTAAGAACACTCTCAATTAATCCCGCAAGCAAGCACAAGCAAAGAGGTGTTCCTCAGGGATGTACTTTAGGCCCATTCATTTTCTAGAGGATAATCCTTCCTATTAAGCGTTCCCAGAAAAATGAAAGAAATATTAATCATTAATTTCCTGTAGGTGAAATGAGTCCCCCAACACTTGCAAATCATGATGTTACTGATCTCACCTGGTCCGGCGTCCATAGATTTGATCTGTTTCCCGGACTCCAGGTCCCAGAGGCGGATGTGGGCATCGAGCGAGCTGGAGGCAGCGATGGCGGCATTGTGGCTGATGTCCACGGACACGACGCCCAGCTGGTGCCCCTCCAGTGTCCACTGCAGCTCCAGCTTTTCGTCCGACCTGCGTGGGTAACCTGACCATTAGCTCACGTTGTCTTTTTGTCTGACGAAATCTTCAAGTCTGCTTTATATGCAAGTTGATTGTCCATCTCTCAGCAGCACTGTGGGGGTAGTGGTAAAAACGTCCGGTGAGTTTGACTCCCTCTGTGTACGTCAAAAACGTGCACGTTAGGTCAATTTAAAATTCTAAATTGTCCAGAATTGTCAATGTGAATATGAATTCCTGTTTATTTGGCTTTTTCTTTGGCTTTTGTGTGTGTGTGTGTGTGTGTGTGTGTGTGTGTGTGTGTGTGTGTGTGTTTGAAATTCAAAATGTTATAGATACAACTTTCTGTTGCCTCTCCATTGAAAGACTCTCATCATACGTCACACGTCTCCAAGGGGTGAGCAATTTCACTTTTCTTTTTTATTACATAGTGATGAACTTACATGACAGTTGATGTTAAAAGGTGACTGAAAAATAATCACCTGGGCTCGCGCGCGCGCGCGCGCACACACACACACTTACCATTTCCACACTTTGACCATATCGTCAAGGGAACCGGTGACGATTGTTTCTGAACCGTCTGCCTCACTTTTACCCCAGGCTGCAGTCCAGATTGCATCGTCGTGTGCTGAAGGGAGAAAAAAAATGTTTGAATTAACAGGAGGAATATCAGACCCCCACCAGTTGCAAAATGAAGCATATTTAATGAGATCCAACACAAAAGCTGTTTCACAAAGTAGTCTCCCTTCATCTTGTGCTAATGAATGATTTTTAAGAGAGCGAAGGAGTTTAGGTAGATGGGCCTTACCCAAGTTTAATAGCAAAGTAGAGTTTTACTGCCACAGTGTGTGGCATCCTGGGGTAAGCGTGAACCTTCGTTAGAACAGGCATTAGTGTGTCTGTGCATGCAGTAGGCTGATGGATAATACTTGTTTTAAATTTAATTTTGCTTTTTATGTTCACACATCTATTAAGATATCCAAATCAAATTTAGGATAAGAACATAATAGTTACTTAGCACGCTTCCAATGAATGTTTCAATATGTGTGCTGTAATACTACATTTTGTACAAATAGTTTGGTAGGTACTCACCATGTTCCTGTTTAAAAAGGATGCTGTACTAAAATGGAAAGATGCAAGTTTTTAGTTATTAGGATTTGTTTTAGCTGGGGGGGGGGGGATTGTGAAAATGTTGAGTGCAATTGTTTTTCTTACTTGAGTGCTCATTTCCGCAGTGGTACAGCTTGCTTGACCACAGCAACCTAAACACAAACATATACAGTGAAATGTATCGCTGCGATTTAGAGTGACCAATTATATCGGTCAAAATAAATAAACGATAACCGTTGTTGATCGTCACTTGATGCTAATGCTAACTCCAGATCGATATAAGCCACTTTTGTTGCTTCAAGACGTCGCCTACGACGTCTTCACGAGCGGAAAATCTCATTCTAATATTCGGTACAAAATGCGGAGTATAACTGGGGTCCACGTACCTTAAAAACCCTCACAAACGTCTTGAATGAAGTCGTAGGAGCTCAAGTTGGTTTACATGCGAGACGCCATGACAACATTACGGCCTGGGGAACTTCCGCGTTTTCTTCTTCGCGTTTTTTGGCGCTTGGCGAGTAAGTCTGGTTGCTCTTTAGTGCTCTTATCGGCAGTATAGGGGAATGTTTGTACAACGAGATGTTTAAGGCAAATATATCTTTATTTTCCTCCCCCAAAACATGACTGGGGCCATTATTTTAAGAGGGGGATGATATTTCTCCTTAAATGTTGTGCTGTGGCATGTCATTACATTGAACTGAAACGAAATGTTGATATGAAACATTGTGGTCCCTGTTATTCATCAATTATCCCATATAGATCTCAAATATTGCCTGTTTGGGAACGCAGCCCTTTATTTGCACGAGCATATTAAAGCAAGCTAACCAAATACATCTTCTTGTTTTGTTTCAGTTTTTGTAATGTGTTGATTATTTCACATGTCATTGATTAAAGGGGTGGTGAAGGTTAGGTCCTTGGCCCTTCTTGCTCGGGGCCTTGTGGGGGTCGAGAAATGCTTCTGATGTCATTTTCCTAAACTGGTCGCATGATAACCACTCAACAGGTTCCAGTGACTGTTTACTGCTCAAAGTTCCCCAGATTAAAAAAGAAATCGGTCAAACCGCTTTGAGTTTTTCTGATCCATGAGCGGCAACACGGACACTCAGACTTAACACAATTCTTACAATGTACAGTTGTTTCGCTTTCTATCCTCTGCACTTTTGTCCTCTCGTGTTGAAAATGAGTGCTTGCCCTCAATGACCTTTCGCGATTTAAATGAAGCTTCTTCGAGATGGAGCGCTACGGTGGCGGCGAGCCCCTGCAGAGGAGGAGGAGGAGGAAGAAGAGGAGGGTGCGAAAGAGTGACAGAGGAGGAGGAGGAGAGAGGAGAGAGAGGAAGGCAGCATTAGTGGAACAGGTTCTCCCCGGCATTCACTCCGCCTCAGTCAGCAGACATGGCCAACTTTGCCGGTACCTGGAAGATGAAGAGGAGCGAGAATTTCGACGAACTTCTCAAAGCTTTGGGTAAGTACGGCTTCCCCATCCTCCTCCTCCTCCTCCTCCTCCTCCATTACCACATTGCTGTGCCAGCCTCACATCCATCACACAAAACAAACACACAAAGCAGCGCACTGTTGTTCTTTTGGGAATGCATGCCGGACTTCCGAACAACACGGCATTGTTTGGAGCGGCTCCCTGGGAAAGGACGCCGAGATGACGATGAGGAGGAGGATGACGCTGCCGCCGCCGCCGCCGATGCTGCCGATGGATGTAAAAAGACCAGATGCCGAATTTCGGCCAAGCTTGTCATCATTGTTAAGCGCAATATTGTTGATGTTGGAGCCTTTTAAGTAGGCTGCGCATGTGTGTGTCGTCTTCACCCTTTAATAGTCTGAACAGACGACTCCGCTGTCTGCGCTTTGGGACACATTAAGTGGGTCATTCAATTGTGTTTGCGTTGCGGTGCCGAGGGGGGAATGACGGTGGCGCAGGGATGGGGCTGAGGAATGGATGGGGTGAACCAAAAATGTTGGGAACCTCCAAAGTCGAACACGAGCCATTTGTTCATGTACGGTCCCCTTTGCAAAAGTATTGGAGTGGCAAGCTCAATTTCGATGTTTTTGTGACGTACCAAAGAAATTTGCGTTTCGTATCAGAAAGACGAATAGGAGACAAACGTTCGGAATTCCAGCGCTTTGATTTTATGGTACGTACATGTAGATGTGTTCAGCAGGAGTTCAGAGAGGTAAGGTGGGGCCAGGCCATTTCAAGATTTGAAAACAAATCATAGGATGTTCAAAAAAACCTCTAAAATGAGCCAGTGAACGGATGCCAGAGTCCAAGTGATGTGCTCCCTCTCACGAGTACCAGTCAGGAGCCATGCAGCGGCATTTTGGGCCAACTGGAGACGCTTTGTGGAGGATTGACTGACACCAAAGTCAAGCACGTGACAGTCATCCAGCCGATAGATGAATCGGTATTTTTAGTTTGATCAGTATTTATTCCCACATGTCCAAGTAGCCTACAGCACATGATTATTTTGACTCAATGTGTCCCTTTTGCCCCTGGACTGGATTGCACCCTGAGTAACCTCCCTGTGCGCGCACCATTAGGAAGATGCTGATGGGAAGTGGCGGCTCCCTCTGCACTGGAATCCATTTTTGTGACCCCCCGCCCACTGCCCCCAAAACCTCCCCTCGCCACTTTCTTTTTGCAACAAGCAGAAGAGTGATTCGCTCCAGCAGATGTCGGTTGATGGGTCTATTTGCTTGGAGCAGCACAACACACCTGTTGCTATGACGACAGGGTGGTGGTGGTGGTGGTCCATGGGCGCTGTCCCCATGAGAAAATCTCAGCTCTCACTCTTTTTATCTGTTGTTGCTCACTGTTTTCCACATCTTTTTTTTTTTCCCCATGATCCGAGTTTAACGAAAGTGATTGCGGACTCATGCTAACCCGCACCCTAACCTACAAATTCTCATCGGGACCACCTCATCATCCTCATAACGTAGACACGAGTCCGTCGACATCCATTTGCCGCCAGGTTCACACCTTGACCGACAGAGCACTTTTCTACCCACTCCGTTGTGCCCTCAGGCGTCAACGCCATGCTGAGGAAGGTGGCGGTGGCGGCCGCATCCAATCCCCACGTGGAGATCCGGCAGGACGGCGAGCAGTTCTACATCAAGACGTCCACCACCGTGCGCACCACCGAGATCAACTTCCACATCGGCGAGGAGTTTGATGAGGAGACGGTGGACGGAAAAAAGTGCAAGGTGAGATTTAGAGTGACGTTGACGGGGATGGAGTGTGATATAATACCTTATGTCAGGAAAAATGGGAAATGGTGAGGTGTGAGGGAAATCGGTGCGCCCGGAGCAGAGTTATTGTATTTTATATATTTATGTTAGCGGGGCTCGGGCTGGGTGTTGGACTGGGGTCAGAGTTGGAGGTTGGGGTTAGAGTTACTTGATTAGGTTGGAGATTGAGTTTGGGGTTGGGTTTAGGCCACAAAATGTTTGCTAAGACTGTGATTTGTGGAGCTGGGTGAGGGTGTTAGCGAGCTAAGAGGTTAAGGTTAGTTAGTGGCTGGCGACTGGGTTTGTAGTTGGCTTCGGGGTCATGGGATTAGAGTTAGTGTTGGGGGATTAGGGTGGGAGTTGAATATTGGTTTTTGGTTTGGGGTTATGGAATTAGGGTTTGTTGTTGAGTGTAGGCTAGGGTTGTGGGTGCTGTTGAGTCATCCGCGAGACATTTGCAAAACGGTGAGTTTTTGAGCACAGGAAAGCCTTCAAAATGCCGACGTGGTTAGGCTATGAATAACAAAAAGGCAACTTCAAGAGGGTCCCGCATGCTCGCAATGAGGAATCTGACATCCGTCTGATGCAAAAAAAAAAAGTTGTGGACATCCACGTTCAAGACTTGAAGGCCACTCGCTGCTTTTGAGGGATGGAAAGCTCCTGGCAGCCTCATGCTATTGGTATCACCCTCACGTCTGTGCACGTGGATCAAGAAGGGGCGTCGTGATCCTTGAGATGGATGGGAATTTTTCTGCAGGCCCCGAGGGCGGATTGCGATGAGCTTTCAAACTCAATTCTTTTCTTCCCTTCTCACCAAAGAACAAAATGCATCTCACGTTCAACTGGGCAACATGGCGGTTAATGGTGGTTGCACTTGACACTGACTGGTTTTTTGATCTGATCCCGGCGGGGCGCCGCAACTGTTAGGAAGCTCTGTTCATGGACATCCAATCCATGCAGTATTTTCACAGTTGTTCCGAGTGCTGTTTTAGGGCAGGGAGGGCAGATATGACCTATTTCGGAGACAGCGTGGTGCCCTTTGCGCGGCGCCCCGCGGCATGTCGGGTACCGGACCTGCCAGCCCAAGCTGCGTGACGTCCCTGACAGATCAGAGGAGCGAGTGTCATCACTCATTCGTCACGTTTTTGTTTTTGTTCTGGTGAGAGGCCGCACTCGGTGAATCAACGAGACGGCACGCTGATTTGGCTTGTTTGGATACACTCGGGGAGCAATCAAGAAGGATTTTGTTTGACGCGGCAAAAAGGTAATTGAATTTGGCGGAGACCTCAACCGCTCAGCATTCCCCAGCGAGTCAGGCGGGATTACTTTGCTCCTTTACGGAATTCTCTGCAGGGGCCAACACTTGAATTTGTCTGAAAACGTCAAGCAAATTTATCATGTCACAAGTACATCATTTGTAGGCTTTTGACAGTTTCGGTTAAGTTCCGTTGGCCGTTCCCAAGGTCCATAAGGGCCGCTTGGAGTTTGCTGTGAAAGAGAAAACCCCTCAAGCGCTCCAGCGGTACGCACAATTAACGGAGATTGTGACAGATGCCGCAAAAACATGTTTTACCACATACTTTTCATTTTAATTCCTCAGGGAAGCGTTTTAGGTCCATTGATTTTATACGGATGGCATTCCTTCGTCAAAAATGAAGTTGCTGCATACCTAGTCCAAATATCTTGTAGAAGTATGGAAGCTGTCACGGGGAGGAACAATTCCCGATTGTCTTCACTGTTCACTTTGCATCGGTGGAATGAGCAAATATTTTTGCCCATATTTTGTATATTAGCGTACGTCACATGAATAAGACTTTGCAGAGTGACAACATCCATCTAAACTAATAACGAATTCGACTTTCGAGGTCCAATGAGCTCCTTTCATTTTCTATCATGTTGAAAGCCTCGGTGACTGACAAATCTTCCCTTTTTTACAAGTAGAACGTGTGCTGATATATTTTGTCGACATACCGTGATATGGATAGTTTTGTTGGTGTAGTTCTTGGTGGTCCCTCAGCTGTCAGCATTTGGCAGGCTTGAGTAGTCAAGGGCAGATGCGGCCGAGCTCAATGGGATTAACGTGGTGATCCTTCGCCCTAACCACACCGCAAGGTTCAAAAGTCTCATTTAATCTGCGTGAGCGCTTCTCACTCCGAGGAGGTGAAAGCAAAAAAGCAAAAAAAAATCCAGAGACAACAGGGCATCAGATGGATGGATTAAAAAAAAAAAACGCTCACTGATCCTACCCGGTTGTGTTTGATGGTTACAGTGTTTTTATTTTTTATTTCAGTTCCAGCTCACCATGTTTGATGGTTAGTGTTTTTATTTTTTATTTCAGTTCCAGCTCACCATCATCCATATAAAGTCACAGTCACAATAAAATGGCATTTTTTTGTAGCCCATTTTGCCCCGTGATTTTCGTGATTTGATCACAGTAAAATGGCATTTTTTGTAGCCCATTTTGCCCCGTGATTTTCGTGAGTGAGTATAATTTCTATGCATATGAAATGTTTTTTTTAAATAAGTCTGTGTGACAGGGAGATGGTCGATTTCTCCACAGAAAACAATGCAAAGTGCCTTGAGAGTTGCTTGGTAGCTCTCACCTTGTTTATTTTAATTTTTTTTTTTTTTAGAGCTTAAGAGCAACTTCAGCCTTCATTTTTTTAGACTGCCGCATGCGAGGCCACGCAGCCAAACTGTGGGAGGCCGTGTGAGAAAGTATTACATGAGACTTTCGGGCAAATGTTCGAGAAAAATCCAACCTAAGCAGGCAGGAAATGAGATGCTTGAAGATTTAGCTCTCTCGTCCCACTAAGCAAACTCGATAAAAGCAATGCACTTGAGTCTTGCTGACAAAACCAAACGTAGACATTTTCACCGTGACGTCACACGTACATGCCAGCGGGGGAAAATGGTGGCAAAACAAGTGGGTGGCCAACATTAACAAACATTCCAAAAAGGCCAATAGAGAATTCTCTCTCCTTTCAGATATCTGGTCTGGTTCTTGTGTGTCGGCGTCGTGATGACAGTCTTCTCTTTTTGTCCCCAGAGTCTTGCCACCTGGGAGTCGGAGAACAAGATCAGCTGTCAGCAGACTCTGGTGGACGGGGACGGACCAAAAACCTTTTGGACCCGAGAACTCAACGGCGATGAGCTGACGCTGGTGAGTTCACGGCGATGAACGTGCGTGGAATGGCAAGGAAGTTGCACACTTTTGAACCTTGGGGGAGGTAATCATCAGATTGTAAATTGAAGAAACACCGGAGCGTTGAAGACAATCCGTTTTCGTTGATTGGCAACAGCGGATGAAAAATTGGATTTTCTGGTCTCTCTGAAAAGATTCCCGAGAGATTCGCTCCTCAAAAGTGGAAGGTTCTCATCCGCAGTGGAAAGATGTGAACGTTCAAGAGGAAGTAACAACGCAGCGGTGAATAAAGAACTTTGAAGAGAATTACGCATTTCAATTTGGGGGTGCTACATTTGTTAAAAAAAAAAAAAAAAAACTCTTACAAGAAACGTGTGGTGAAAAAAGTCCAATAACCTGGATGTAATTTTCCAAAACATAAAGCTAAAATATGATCAGAAATCAAAATGTTACAATTTTTTACATTTTAAGACAAAACAAAAACCAAAACAAAGATGATCTGATCATTAAAACATTATTTTACAATAAACCTGAAGTACTATAGGAAACAAAAAAAACATTTTAACATTTTGTAAATAAATAAAACGGCACTGTTTTTTTTTCTAAACGTGGGGGGGGGCATTTTTTTGTTCCCCAAAACAAACAAAAAGGGACGACAGGTTAGGAAGCAGTACACACACAACAAGCTGATTGTGTTAGCACAGTTAAGTGGGACACATTTGCATACAATTTGCATAATGCTTGTGATTGGTTTTACAGTGGAATCTCTCTCTAGGGAAAAAAAACGTCAAGACATTGGCATTGGCGTTGCACCAGGCACCTTTTTTCACATGTCGATTTCATGTGTTTTGCAGGTTTTCGGTGCTGATGACGTGTTGTGCACTCGCATTTACGTGCGCGAATGAGGCTGCGGAATGGAGCAGACGACTCATACGGGACCACAGTTCAAATGTTAACCTGCTAAGTTTTACAGAATTCCACGCAAGTAGCTTCCACGCACGCTAATAACTCTCTCTCATTTTTTTATCGCACTATTGTTCAATCACAAGAAACAATAAAATTGTTCAATTACAAGAAACAATAAAACTTCGATCGAAAAACCCCCCCAAAAACGTCAGCGCCTTTTTGCCTCTAATTAGCTTTAGCGTCAAAGCTAACAACGGTGAATGACGTAAGTGGTGAAGTAATTTCCAAAAAGAAGAGTACTATTGTTCAATCACAAGAAACAATAAAACTTTGATCGAAAAAAACCCCCAAAAAAGGTCAGCGCCTTTTTGCCGCTAATTAGCTTTAGCGTTAAAGCTAACAATGGTGAATGACGTAAGTGGTGAAGTAATTTCCAAAAAGAAGAGTAATATTCTTCAAGGTGTATATTTAATGCAAAAGCTGTTTTTTCATAAAGGTGAGTTTCTTTCTGGAGATAAACTGCTGTCATCTTACAAGAATAGAATTGGATCTCTAAACTTTTATTCTTATAAATTTACAATTTTTTTTTTGTCCGAAAATACAACTTTAGTTTCTTGCACTTTTTCAACCAGTTTTTCTGGTTTCCTTCACCTGCGATGGTTTGAGAAACACTACATTGGGTTCTTCTCACACAGGTTGGACCACCAAGTAAGCTTCCTCACAAATAGTTCCTGGCCGCCTTCAGAAGCCTGCCTGCTGTAGTAAATAAATTATTCTTTTGGGGGACATGCCCCCACTCCCGCACCCCCCACTCCACTTGCAGGTGCACCCCACAAAAGTCGAGCCAACAGCCAGAAGAAAGGGGCACGCCATCAAAAGCCCAAGAGCAAATGTGTCTCTTTTGCTGCCAACTTTTTCTTTTCACAGCTTTGGCTGACACGCGGGGGTCCCAGCAGCCCCTCGGACAAATAAATGGGTTCCGCCGCTGACGTTTCACCCGCTTATCCCCATACAGAAAGATTTTCCTCTTCAGTGCACTGCCGTTCCTGTGGGAAGCAAAGAGGCCGGGACTCGGCGAGGCGCCCTGAGGCGCACCGCCCACCGCCGAGTTAATTGAAGGACGAGCCCGCGGTCGGGATGGCAGCTCACAACAGCTCAATGAGGGCTTTTGTTTTGTCACGTAGGCCAAAGGGCCCCCGCCGCCCTCCTCCCCAACGCTTGCCATCTTTTGAGTAGGGCATCGAGCGGGGGGGGGGGAGGGTGGAGCTCTGTGGGTACAGTGCGACATCGGCTCGCTGTCCCATTTTTGCTCCTCCCTGGTGGGCTCTGATGTTGGGAAACAGAAAAGGCCCAAAAGCCTTTGACAGAAGCACACAAGGCGGCTCAGGATGGTGGAGTTTTTTTTTTTTTTTTAATCTGAAAAGTTGTATAGAAGGTAGTCATCATTTTTCATGGTAAAATCTTCACTTATTTTTCAAAGGATGGATGAATATTTTCCTCAGAATATGTATTCTAATTTGATGAGAATTTCCATGTTTGGCATATTGGTAAAAATTAAAAAGGCACATTTTGTTTAATTTAAAAAAAAAATGTCACATGATCACATTTTTGTGGACAGTCGTTGAATACGACCTGTCAAAAGTCAGACGTAAACATTTGTTGCAGCTCCGAAACAAGGAGAGCTGTACTGTTGTTTCTTTTTTTAAACCATGCACTTTATTAATGCTTTTAACATTTTCAACAAATACAAACACGTCTCCGTCCGACGACGTGCCTTCTCTTCCGCGGTTCGACTCGAGAGGCGTTCAAAGACCGCCTCCGAAAACGTAAATTAACGATAACTTCAACGACGCTAAGAAAATCGAAAATAATGCACCAAAACAGAAAGCGGATAAATCACAAAATAAATTCTATGGGGGGTGTTTGTGACCACCCAACAAAGGAATAAATATGCTATTTAGGCTACGATGCTAGCTAATTCTATTGATGAGCCTCACGTGATCGTTGGAACTACATATCTCCTCTATGTAACATGGGTTCATGATTGTGCACATGCGGGGTGCATGGTGTTGTTGATGCTTTATGATCCTCCGCGTGGAATCCTTTAAAGAGAAGGCAACATTCGCAAATGATGGACTCTCACTGGGATAGAGGATCGGGGTTCATATCTCAGCGACGGCCCCCTTATGTGGAAAGGTTTGTCCCATCACTCCATGTTGTTCTCACATTCCCAAAACATTCATGTTAGGTTCAAGTACCCTTCTGGGATCTGAGATTTGTAAAATAAATTGACAGAAATTTATGGACGCAATTCATGTGCTTCAACTTTCCAGCAAAAATTTGAGACCGCACACACACACCAGAATTAGCAACACAATGAATCATTGTGCAAAAAGATGACCATTTTGATGCATTCTATTTAAACGTAACTTTATGTTTTCATAAAGTTAAACACAGTGATTTTTTTTGGTGCTAGAATTTCTAAATGGCATTTCCGTTCATTTACTTGGTCTATTTCAGAGCTTCATTTCTAGTTCTAATGTCGTCATCACACTTTTTGTCTTTGCCATCATTGACACAAGGGGGCAAGGGGGCAATACACATGTGTGAGGTTCAAAATGTGAGAGAAGAAAAAAAAAAAAAAGAGACATGAATAAAAGTCCATAGACATTTAATCACTGTAGGCTACAAATGTGTTTTTTATTATTACTTTAAATAATGTCTAAATAAACGGACGAAAGACATGCTCATTTCACTTTTCCAATATCAAAAATACAACTTGGAGGCGAGGGGTTGAGGGGGGCAGCAGAAACCTATCCAGGGTGGAGAGAGCGGATACTGTTGGGGGGGGGGGGGGGGGGGTTGCAGTGTTTTTGTCTTTTTGTTTTCTGGTGAATTGAGAAGAAAATATATTTGTCATTTATAAAAACAGAAAAACCTGGATACATTTCTACTTTTCCTTTTTTTAACTATGTAAATTAAAAAGAAGAAAAGACATAAAAGAACACACAAAGAGAAAGGGTCCCTGGGGGGTTGCTGTGCAAGGTAAGGTGGGACAAAATCAGCTCATTTGTATCGTCAAGTCCCTTTGGTAAAAACTGTAAGAAATTTTGTCGTTCTTGTCTCTCTTTCTTGGCTTGTTTTTTTTTCTCCCCCCGGTCCTTTACATTCTAACAGTTAGCTCGGAAAGCTCTACTAACACAACAACACGCCGTGGTCTTAAAAAGTCTCAGACTATTTACATTGTATTTACAAGGTGTGTGAAGATTGGTGGTGGGCTTTTTTTTCTAGGTATTATCTTCCAGGGCGGCGAGGATGATGTATGTTAATAGAACTATATATAATATATATTATATATGTATATATGTACAACAAATAGCTTTACAATGGTGCACTCTTGAGTCCAAACAATGTTGTGAGGCGACGTGCTAAAACTGTGGCGCCTGACGACATTCTTCGGGAGGCTCAGCCCGGAACAGGAAGCGAGTCGCGCTTGGGCGTTCGTCTCCATCCAAAAATCTGGGAAGCCGTTGCTGTTTTTTTTTTCCCCCCCTGAATAAGTGCACTTGTCGAGCATGTCCAGGCTGGCTTAAATAAATCACAACCCCCTCCCGGCCCCACCCCTCCGTGTTGGGATTGTGTGGACGGTGGAATGGTAAAGCGGCATTTATTGTAGAAAAAAAAAGCGAGGTTCACTTGGTGAGTGCTGGTGAGCGGGACGAGACCATTCCCGAGTTTTGGCACCCTTGAAGGAGGTGGCGAGGGGGAGGGGTTGTGTGTTCCCCAGCTAAAAACGCTGGTAAAAAGCGGTAACCCCGCCACCACTGGAGCAACACCAATGCGCGCGCGCGCGCACACACACACACACACGCGCGTACACATTTCGCCTTAAAACCAAATTGCTTCCTGACCCGGAGCCGGTCGCTAGGGGCTGTACTTGACGCGGTATTTGCTGACGTTGCGGAAGTGGAGGACTTCGGGATGGCGCGCGGTGCTGCAGGGCAAAAGTCCGTCGCGGCCCTCGCCCAGCAGCCACTTGTCGGTGTCGGCGGCCAGGTCGGCGCCGACGTGCTCCTCGGCCCATGCCGCCAACCACGCCTGGAAGCGCTTGTGGAGGCGGGTGCTCACACGCTCGTGGGACTGTGGGCCGGGAGAGGGAGAAGTCGGAGTTGTTATCGCTCTCTCTCTCTCGCACAAACACGGAATGAGAGGCCGCACGGACACACGCATTGAGACCGACCTGGCACACACACGATTCGATTCGTGTAGGCTCTTGCGAATGTGACTTTGCAACCTTGTTTGACCTCTCTGATCTTGTTTCTCTTTTGCTCACTCACACACATCGCACCGCCTCGCTCGCTCACCCGCACAGCGGCCTACCTGGTGCGATCCCGCTCTCTCTCTCTCTCGCACAAACACGGAATGAGAGGCCGCACTGACACACGCATTGAGACCGGACCTGGCACACACACGATTCGATTCGTGTATGCTCTTGCGAATGTGACTTTGCAACCTTGTTCAACCTCTCTGATCTTGTTTCTCTCGTTTGCTCACTCACACACATCGCACCGCCTCGCTCGCTCACCCGCACAGCGGCCTACCTGGTGCGCTCGCATCAGCGCGGTGCGCCGATACATGTAGTCCTCCGACTTGAAGACGTAGACCATTTTGTAGGAGTTGAGCTTGAACATGCACTCCATCTTCTCCTTGTCCAGCGGTTTTTTGCCTCCCTCGCCGGCCTCTTTGTCCAGCTGCTCACGACACTTCTGGTGCTTGCGGATCCGCCGCAGATTCCTGGCGACAACACAAGTCACGAACATGTCTTTGCCATGGCTGTCACGGGGGATTTTTTCAAAATCAACAGCTGCACAGATTAACCCAATAAAAATTGATTTTGGATTAAAATGTATCGATAAAATTTTTTCCCTCGATTAGTATTTTGAAACCAATTATTGTTATTTATTTATCTTTACTCCAGTTCTAGCGTGCACAACTGAGGAAGTTTTCAATCATCCGCCAGAATAATAAAATACCAATAATAATAATAATAAGAGCAACTTTAAGAGGCAAAGGTGGCACATGGTGCCCTGAAAATCCAAAATAGAAAAAAAAAAAAAAATCCTCACCTGGGGAGAAAGACGGGTTTCTGGGCCAGATGTTCCCTCAACTCGGGCGTGGTGGTGTCCGGGTTCAAGTAACGTCCGACGTAATCGGACCACCGCTGCAGTCACAGGATGCGAAGGTTCGTCATGAATTTAACAATGACTCAATACGGTGGCACTTTGACACGACAAGCCGTCGCTCATCCAATTGTTTGCTTTGTGTTTCCGGCTCAAATTTTTGGTCTGTAGCTCATTTATTTCATATGCTATTGTATTTTGTGGAGTGGTTTTGCTTCAAATTCTTTTTTTCTCATCAGAGGTCATAGATAACTAAGTCCTGAGAAAGGAGGGAACAGCGTCCATTGAATTAAATCATTCGAAAAATTTCTTGCGTAAAGTTTTGGAAGGGTGGAACGAGCAATTGATAGCAGTTTAAGTCAAGTCAAGATAATGTGGCGAAAACAGGGGGGAAAAAACCCCTGCAAAGTTTTGCAAAAGTGAAAAATGTAACAAAAGGGAATGGAGCCATCATTGGAAGGGTGGAACTAGCAATTGATAGCAGTTTAAGTCAAGTCAAAATACTGTGGCGAAAACAGGGGAAAAAAAAAAACCCTGCAAAGTGAAAAATGTAACAAAAGGGAATGGAGCCATCAGGGTGGGTACATCGATTACACTTCATGAAATCGGTTTATTCGTTCACATTCTCTTCTGTTGTGTTTTTATAAAATACAGCGCGATACATCTTCTGCTGCTACCGCCGCTCGTTCCTGCCGACTGCTGTCAGGCTACATTCGTTCACATTTTCTTCTGTTATGCTTTTATAAAATACAGCGCGATATATCTTCTGCTGTTACCGCCGCTCGTTCCTGCCGACTGCTGTCAGGCTATTGAATCGACGGCCCTGAAAACCTGGACTGGCCCCCCCCCCACACCACCCCCTCTTTACGCTGTAAATTGGGAATTTCTCCATCGTGAGACAAATAAAGGTTTTCTTATCATATCTCAGTATTTTTTTACTGGGGTGTTTTTTAAAGGCTTTTCGCCGGCCATGTTTCTCACCTCTGCCTCGAGGGGCTCGTCAGAGTTCTCCTCCTCAGTGTCGAGCAGCTCCAACGTCAGCTGCACCAGGCCTCTGTTCCTTACAAACATCACCTGCGAGGAAACAAACGCAAAGGTGATGCCGGGTGACTGTTCCCACACGGGCGTTTATTTTTAACTGCAGAGAGTACCAAGGGGCAGGGTAAGAATTTTTTTTTCCTTCTCCCCTATTTGCAGACGTGACATTGGTAAATGTTAAATAATGAATCTGTGTGTCAACTTTTTGTGACGGTTACCTGAAGATTTTTTTTTTCCGAACGTAAACTATGTTGGGAAAGGCTGGACTAGTTGACGGAGATTCTGCTTCTCCGGACGCCAAATAGTGCCCTCCCATTTCTTTTCTTACCTTGAAGCAGTTCTCATCCGACATGAGCTGTTCCGCTTTGCGCTGGTAGGCGCTCTCCGAGGAGCACCGGGAAGACAGCGTGGCCATGGACCCCCCGCAGGCTCCGTTTGCGCTCTCGGCCAAGTAGAGGTCCGTCACCTGGACGCAGATCTCGTCGCTCACGATGTGCTGGAGCTACGACGGGACGCGGAAGTATAAGTCATGGAATTTGGACCGAGAAAAGCCAGGACGGGGTGAACGGCAGGAGGAGCAGAGCAGAGGCTAACCTGCCGGACGATGCTCTGGATGAGCTTGTCCATGGTGAAGGCGATGTAGGCGTGAATGGTGAACATGTCCCTCAGCGAGTCCTCGTACTGCGACGCCTCCATGTTGCCGTCAAGCAGGTTGCGAACCATCTCCAAGAAGGCCGAGTAGTAGACCTCCACGTCGATGTCCACTAGTGGGAGATGAATGACACGCCAATATTACTTCCGCTTTCAAGCCCAAAGTCCAGTTGACATCAGAATTTCAGCCTGTTTTATTGCCGCTTCTCCTTCTGCAGCACCTGAGAACTCTCGACGGGTACAACCGCAACATTGCCGTTACTCACTGGGCTCCTTGAGTCGCAGCTGGATGGCCGGGTTGTCGTTCTTCTCCTTCTTGAGTCCCAGCACCTCCCGCTCCCATTCTCGTTCACGCACATCCTCCTCAATCTGTCGCTCGGCCTGCCAGTAGAGGCGGAGGAGTCGCGAGCATAGCGTGTGGTGCAACCGCAGGAAGATATACCAGTTGTTGTTGACGTAGAAGAGGTTGTAGGCGTCGTCGCAGCCGCGAAGCTTCTGGGCCGCCGTGTTACTGAACAGCAGCTTGGATTTAGTGGGGCTGGCGCCACCGCCGCCGGGGATGCCGTTATGCTTCTTGGAGGGGACACCCTCCTCGATATCCATCTCCACGTCCTCTTCCTCTTCTTCCTCCTCCACATCGGAGAGCTCGCCGCGCTGGGCAAACAGCAAGTCGGGGACAAAGTGGTACATGATCTGCTTGATCTTGTACTTGTCTTCTTTCTGAATGCCAGTCTGGCGTTTGACGTGGTGGATAATGAGGGCCGCCGCATCCTCCAGGATCTGCCGGTCCTCATATGCCCGGGTCAGGTGGGGGCCCGCCGGCGGGCTGGCGTTCTCCTCGGAAGCCTGCTCTTGGCGCTGCAGGGCAAAAACATTCAACTTTATGATCTGAAATATACACCAGAACATGGATGCGGGGCGAGTGTGGTCGATGGAATAAATTCGGCCTGCAGTAGAGTTTAGAACTGACCAATCGCGATATCACTTGTTGATTATGTGTCGGTATGAAAATGGCCGCAAGTGCGTCACTTAGCGCTAGCGTGTTCTATAGGCGAATATGTTAGCTGCTACTATGGATGAGCCACACGTGAAAGTGATTTGTTTTGAGGTGAAAAATGAAACGCGATTCCAATAAAGTTGGGATGTCGTGTTGTGAATGTTCAAAGTTTTTTGTCTTGATTGGAATTCTGTTTGTCAATACAATTGGTTATGTAACATGAGAGTTGATGCTTTATGAGCCTCTATGTTTTACGTATTTGCCAACCTCTCGTAGCAGTAACAGGTGTCTTTTATGCGGCGTCGGTTATTTTCGGGTTATCGCTACTCCGGGCAGGGCTTGGTCCCTTTTGCTATGCGACTCGCAGGGTTTCGTTGTCGTCCAAAATCGAAGGCAGTTGAGTGTTGACAACTCGTTTTTTTTTTAATCGGTTACTGATAAATGTGGTCTCCTCTGTCAGTCATTTACATACAGCACTGCAACAGCCGCAATCGCATGCGTCACTTTTTTTTGAGTAACGCATTAAAACCCTTCATGTTATTTATTGTTTATTTGTACCAAAAGTTGAATTCGAGAGAAACGAGCCTGTTTTCGCCACTTGTTATTCCAACAGTGACGGAGGAGAGAAAGGCAGAGAGTGCTCACTTCATCGTAGATGCTTTCGATTTCGTTGAGCAGGGACTTGGAGCGCAGCACTTTGGTGTCGTTCTGCTTGAAGTTAATGCCCTGATGGTCCAGAGACTTGAGGTAATACTTCTCATTCTGCTCCCGCCAGATCTTATTAAAACTTCGCTGGGCTTCCCGCCACTCCTCCTCCTTGGTCTTTAACCTGGATGGCGGGAGGACACGTGACTGGATGAGAAAATCAGTTTGATGAAAAGCGCTCGTCCGCCCGGTCCGGCACGCACCTCTTTAAAACAATGGGGACGGAAATGGCCGGGTTCTTCCTCAGGCCGTCGATAATGTCCGGGGCTTTATCGCTGTATATCCTCTGGATGGCTTTTCGGTGCACCACCTCGGAGGAGCCGCCCAATGTGTTGTCCAAGCGGAATTTGGCCTGCTCCTCCGCAGACATCCGCGAGATCTTCCGCTGCACGGACTCCAAAACTCGGATGGTCGCCAGGTTGGTTTCCAGCACCACGTCTAACTGCACGTGAGGAGGCAAAGGAACATTTTGTTTGGCCTCACTTCGTCCTCCCCACGCGACGGGTGATCGCACCTCACAAGAAAAAAAAAAAAAAAAAAAAAAAAACTCACCTCGAAGCGCTCGTCCTCACACCTGTAGATGTGCTCCTCGTACTGCGTCTTTTTGGAACTAACAAAGGTGGAGTCCTCGGACCAGGATGGCAAGGACACCCAGGTGTCGTTTAAAACCTGAAACCACCCACAACAAACACGGTAAAGGCGCTGGAGCTTCATGTCTGTAAGTTATATGATGGTAAGTGGACTCTCAGGGTGGCCAAGCAAAATGCGGTTGACCTGCGCGATATCGCAGCATTTAAGGGGACGACGGTTGTGTCTCCTTTGCACCGCGGCTGCTCTCACCTCTTTACAAAGTGGCGTTCTCCCAGTGCATTTGGGCTGCTGGTAGCTTTTGGGCAGCGCTCTGTAACTGGAGCCGAGCCTTTTGCATGAAGCATAGTCAATCTCCATGGCGATGCCCTCGGTGGCCCGCTCCTTGGGGTACGCCTCCATGTGGGACATTTCCCGGTACCCCAGGAAGTTTTTGAACCAGGTGAACAGCTCCGGGAATTTCCTGGAGTGACGAGTGGAATGGGTGGGTGAGAGGCACGCCATGAGGTGACCGCGAGGAATAAAAAAAATACCGAGCGCTCACCCGAGGAAGGGCAGCACCAGCTGCACCAGCTCGGCCCGGGAGATCACCTCCTGATTGAAGATGACCAGACATCGCAAGAAGCTATCGTAGGCCTCGGCACTCCGCAAGGCTTTGCGCCCCTGCCATGAGAAAACACATTGGCAAATTTATGACGTAAGCAGTCACGTGCATCAGGTTGCCCAGAAAATTCAGCTTTTGGTCTTTGGTGAACATTCGGCATATAACTGTAGAATAAATGACAGCACTAAAATGAACTTTTTTTTTCCCCAAAACGTGCATATTTGGTCAATTGAAGGTAATGGCTTCATGATGAAGAACACTTCTCACGGCATTGCTATGGGCTACATTTATTCATCGCAATGAGAATAAATCCGAGATTCAGCAGTGCCAGTGAGGTCGGTGGGGTGGGAATAAAACCAAATCCGGAGACCCTCTGAGAACCAGGACAAAATTTGTTTGCACCCCTGACTGTAGAAAATTGATGGATGGATGGCTCTAAAGTAAATGGGATTCGCATTTCTTTGCATTGCATCAACATCAATCAACGTCGGAGACAAAATGGCAGCGTACCTTCTCAAAGAACAGCGACTCGGTTCCGACTCCGTGCTTGCTGGCCTCGGCCATGGACGAATCTTTCAAGTTCAGTAACTTGGGCTTCTTCTGTTTTGGTCACATACAAAAAGAGGCGATGGGAATGACAAAGCCGTCCGACGGGTGAAACGGGAGAGAACGAGTTGAAGTTTTGCGTACCTTGATGGGGGGCGCGGCCCCGGGAGCGGAATGCCGGCGGATCTGGCAGCCGTTCTGGTTGGGCCTCTGCTTGTTGTTGAGCTGCAGCTTCTTGGTGGTGCCGCCGTGATCGTTCCGTACCGACTCGGCCTTCTCGGCTGTCGTCTTGCTCAACAGCTGAGTGGAATGGAAACGTTTAGACGTGGGACTGAGTGGAGAGGAATGCATCCCTTCAATAAATGGGGGGCTCACTAAAGCTGTGAAAACCAGACTGTTTCACACCATGGCTTGGTTTCTACTTCCTACTTTTGTTCCAATTCTGATTGACTTGACAGGACTCTTTAACTTGATGCCGACCAGCTTTTAATGAACGAGTGGCTTTGATTGGAATCTTCTGTAAGTGCTGTCATGCATTGGAGTCCATCTCTCTGCTTATGCTGTTGGACACGAAAGACCACTGAGTCAAACGTGCAGACTGCGACGTTAGCTTTCTCCGGGCACTCCAATTTCACTTTATTTAAATGACACATTGATGACATTTTGGAATGAGTCAACACCCATCCATACATGTACGAAGAGCTCTCGAAGAGATTATGGGTCTTTGTATTGTAGGCTCTTGCGCACCTTTTCCTTCTGGCTCAGGCTTAATTGCTAAATGAATCTGCAGTAACATTAGTCACGGTAGAAAAATGGTCGCCACATAAGAGTGAATAATCCGCGATATAAAAGTGTACAATTTACAAATCTGTGATATGGTGAGATTGTGAAAAAAAGAAAAAAGAGCTTTGACCACAGAACAAATTCGAGGATCACTCACCACTGAACTGTTGGCGTCTGGGAGAAACTGCCCAAACTCGGAGAGCAGGTCCTCTTGGTTCTTGAAGAGCCGGGCAACCTGAGCGTAGACCTCTTGCTCCGTCGGGGCCGGCGTGTAGTTTCCTCCAGCCTCTTTCGCGTTGCGTTGCTCCTTCTGCATGAGACAGTGCATACACAATCATGTGTTAATAAAAGCTGAATTTTGGCGAAATCCTCACGGCGAGTTCCTCTCGCTGACCTGGTACGTGTGCAGGATCTCTAAGAAGGCTTTGTAGATGTTGGGCTGACCCTGGAAGCGGTTCTTGATCTTGTTGACGTAGTTGATGGCGTGGTTGAACTCCACCGGCTGGTTGTTCTGCGCCGGCAGGCCGGCGGGCATCCCGCCGAGCGGCGGGTGGAGTGGCACGGGCGGGGA